CCAATCTCGGTTCTATCCTCAGTTGCTAAAATATATGAGAAATTAGTTACAGAGCAACTAGAAATTTATCTTGAAACTAATCACATTCTTGCAGAACAACAAGCAGGATTTAGGAAAAATCACTCTACACAAACTTCTCTACTTAACATCACGAACCAATGGCTAATGAATATGGATAAGGGTTTGTTAAATGGAGTGATTTTTTTGGATCTCAAGAAAGCGTTTGACTGTGTTGATCATAATATATTGTTAAAAAAATGCATTGTTATGGAATAAGAGGTCATACGCTTGCTTGGTTCCAGTCCTATCTTTCTAGCAGGATTCAAATATGTAAGGTAGATCAAACAATGTCCAAGACAAGAACAGTTAAATGTGGAATACCCCAAGGTTCTAATCTTGGGCCACTTCTTTTCTTATTATATATAAACGACATGCCAAACTGCCTGACCTCATCTTCAGCAAGCATGTTTGCCGATGACACAAATGTTTCAACCAATGGCAAAACAAATGACGAACTACAAGAACGCATTAACGTGGACTTAGAAAATATACACCAATGGTTACTTGCAAACAAACTTACACTTAACAAAGATAAAACTGAATACATGATTATTGGTTCAAGACAACGAATTTCAAACTTAATACTAACGGACCCTAAAATTGAGCTTGGTGAATCAGTCATTAAACGGGTTCACAAATCAAAAACTTTAGGCGTAATTATTGATGAACATCTTTTATGGAATCATCAAACCCAAAATATTGTCACAAAAGCTTCAAAAGGAATAGGAATGATGCGACGAATAAAACAGTTTGTTCCCAAATCAACCTTAGTAAAAATATATAATGCCATTGTGTTATCACATTTTGATTATTGTAGCTTGGTTTGGGATAACTGTTGTGATTACTTAAAAAACAGACTTCAGAAATTACAAAACAGAGCGGCCCGAATCATCACTGGTAAAACTTATGAAGTTAGTTCTGAGGATGTTTTAAAAGAATTGGACTGGCAGCCTTTAAACCAACGTTATAAAACCAATAAATCGATTTTTATGCACAGAATACGAAACGAAAAAATGCCATCATCAATTTGCAACATGTTCAAAATTAAAATAAATGACAGATATGATTTAAGAAGTAACAATAACAACTATGATCTTGGAAAACCTGAAACAAATTTTATGAAAAAGAGCTTCAGTTATTCAGCTGCATCCCTTTGGAATGACTTATCAACTACAGCAAAAGAAAAAGGCATTAGCCTTAACAAATTTAAACGTATTCTTGACGGCACTTGATTCCTTTTGGTAACTTTGTAAATATTTAAATAGGATAGGATATATTTAGATACAAATGTAGTGCATGCAATTATTAAGTTCGTTATGTTTTCTCTGTTTTTGTGTGTATATTTGTGTTATTATATTTACATAGCTTGTAAATACTGTAATAAACGGCCTCTTGAAAAACAGGTGCCTACGAGCCCTGAAGAGCTACCGTTTTAAAATATTTTTAAATAATAATAATAATAATAATAAAAGGAAATCACCGCGTCCGCGAAAAGTACGCGACGATACGCGTACAAAATTTGAAAAATTTAAAGTATGGGCCAGAGAAAATCTAGGAGTCTTATCGGCCATCGCCATATCCATCGCAGGTATCATTACGACCGTCGTTGTCGCCGGAAAAAAGACGTTGGTTGGTACCGGGAAAGGATTGGGAGAAGTTGGAAAAGCGTTGGCCAAAGTCGCGAAAGCCGCATTACCGGTCTTCATTCCGATCCTGAATATGTTGGCGACCATCTTAAAATGGGGTGCAAAAGGATTAGAATTTCTTGCGAAAAATTTATGGCTCGTTGCTATTCTCATCGCCACAGTCATCTACGAATACTTTAGGAAGAAAAAATATTTTGTTTTTTATTTCCCATGAAATAAAAGATGGAAAGCCGAACACAAGAATTAATGCCAGATTTTCACCGTCAATCCAGGACGGAATTATCAATCAATCAATCAATCAATCAATCAATCAATCAATCTGTTTAATTAAAACCAATTTGCAGTTTTTAAAGGAAAACTGAATTACATGGAGTACTAATATAGCATAAAAATTTATATTAAAATGTACATATATATATATATATATATATATTATATAAAATAATTTTTATTTAGTTAGGACTGTTAATTAACTATAAAGCTAATAATATTTCCTAGTCACGAAGTTTTTTAACCGTTCAGTGGTTTCTGACCATAAAGGTTGTTCGGCCGTTCTGTCATTCCTTAAGTCATAATCATGAGTTTTTACCCCGGGACGAATTTCCATAATTTGGGTCAAAGAGTTGTAGGGTGAAACATCACGTCGCAGAGATTCGACGAATTTCTTGCAAAAGATGCCTCTACGAGTACTCAGATACTGTAAGTTTGAAATTTCAAGGGCTTCATCATATAACAGATCTGGATAAGCTATTCTCAATGCTCTCTTTTGAACAGATTCGAGAATGTCAGATAATGATTTAGGTATTGACGACCATACAGGGGATGCATATTCAATTCTGGATCTGATGAATGAGATATATATTTGGACGATGTGAGATGCTTGAAGACCAGCCTTTTTTAACAGACGCAATGCGTATTAAGCGAGAATTTGCCTTTTTCAATATCATGTCGACATGAGTATTCCATGACAAGTCGTTTGATATCCATACACCTAGGAGTTTGAAAGAGGACACAGTTTCCACCGGTTTACCTGCAACATAGATCGGATTTTCATCATAAGATCCTTTATATTTAAGAAAGTTGATCAACATTTGTTTGCATTTCTTATAATTTAGTTCCATTCCACGTTCTAAGGCGTAGTCCGAGATTTCATTTACGACTAATGGCATTAAACTGGGTGAAAAACGTGGTATAATCTCTAGGGCTGAGGTGTCGTCCACAAACTTGATCCTACCGGGCCAGTTTTTGAGTAAGGAATTAATGAGAACAGCAAACAATAATGGACCCAACTTTGTACCTTGTGGCAAGCCACCATTTGTTTTCTTCCAAGAGGACATAGAAGTTCCCACCCGGACACATTGTTCGCGATCGCAAAGGAAGGCTTTAATCCACCGAATTATAGAGGGATGGGTACCAAGCAGGGTTAACTCTTTAATAATAACATTGTGGTCTACTAGGTCAAAACCTTTCTTGAAATCTGCAAAGAACAATCTGGCAGTACAGGAACCTCTCTCAAGAGCAACCAAGATTGAATGTAAAAGGTACACCAAAGCGTGGGTCGTTGATTTCTTTGGGAGTGCATATTGTTTGGTGTCAAGTTTATTTACAACTTCAGGAAAAAAATTGTCCAAAGTACAATCCTCCATAACTTTGGCGACCTGAGATGTTAAATATATTGGTCGTAGGTCGTCTTCAATACTCTTTGGGGGTGATACCTTAGGGACAGGCACTACAATAGATCTCTTCAATGCCTTTGGGAAGGTGCCTTGTGTCATGGATGAGTTGAAAATGTCTGAGATAACTGGGGCAAGCTCAAAGGCAAATTTTTTCAGGATTTTATTTGGAAACATGTCAGGACCCGGTGATTTTGTGGTTTTAATTTTACTAAGTTTCCTATAGATCTGTTGGGCGTCAACGAGGTAATGGTTTGGTACTTCTAGGCCCTCCTGGATTTCGTCGAGAGTTAGAGGGTCAAAATGTGATGTAAGGGCAGTAAGAAAGTTATCAAAATTTTCGGCCAGTTCTTCACAATTCCGAACATCATCAGAAAATAGCTGAGAATACCAAGAATTTTTTGACGAGAGACCACCAATGGCTTTCACTTCTTTCCACCACCTTGCCTGGTTAGAATTTTTCAATTTCTCAACTGACCTCATATAGTAGATCTTTCGTGCAACTCTAATGGATGATTGGACTCTGTTACCCCAATATTTATAAATATCTGAATTTTTCCCGCTTTCGTGTAAGGCTTTTTGGCGTCTCCCAATAGCAAACTTTATTGATGACGTCATCCAAGGCTTATCACACTTTCGTACTTTAATCTGTTCCAAGGGAAAGAATTTTTCAATCATCACAGTCATTGTATCGTTAAACTTTTCATATTTTGTATCACAGTCATGTATGTCCAAGATAGGAGACCAGTCAAATGTAGTGATATATCGTCCAAAAGGCCGTATCCTGCTATCTCTGAGATCGCGTTTCCATATATGTAAATTGTCTGGCTTTGAGGGAGAAGGTTGGGCTTTCATAAGAATCGTATAATGATCACTGGTTCCAATGGGAGGAAGTTGGATTGATTCGTAAATATTATCCACCTTTGAGTTGGTTAAACACCAGTCTAAAGTTACATCAGCTCTGGTAGCTACCTTGACTATCTGCGTCAGACCAGCAATTCTTTTAAGATGGTTTGCATCGAAATTAACGGGAAATAGGACGAGACATCTAATCACGTTTAATCCCAATTCTGCCAAACCCGGGGAAGAAATCTACGTGAATATTCCAAAACTCAAACCGGATTCTGTTTTGGTTCCGGATAGTATGGCATTGGTCTTTGATTTTAAAAATGCCAACGAGAAATCCTGGTTCCGAAATAATTTGGGAAAGTTATTACAAAAAAGATTGGAAATCCGGTTGGTCGGCGAAAAAGTCTACGATAACGGTGGTGAAAGTTTGATGGAAGTGTACAAAATTTGTGGATGGACGAAAAACAACGTGCCGATAAGATCGAAGACGGAATTGCGACCGAAGCCGTCCGCAAGAAAATCTCCAAGGACGACGAAGCCAATGCCGATGCCGATGCCACCGCATTGTTCGGTATCTTCGGAACGAAACAGAGAATAAAATTAATAAAATTCTGGGCGATTACGGATTGTACGCACCGTATCATTCCGCGAACGATCTACAGTACGTCATCACGTTACCGCAAGCCTCGGAAATCATGAATGCCCAAAGTAGTGAATCCGTCGAGGGATATTCGTTAGAAAACATCGAGTTAGAATATGAATCCATCGAAAATAATAATCTCGCCCGGAAATATGAAAACTTATATGGATCCGAACGGGAATTATCGTTCGAACATACGACGTTGATGAAAAAGACCGAATGGGACAAAAGTGCGACGATCGTAAACGAAACCATCAACGTTCCACGACGGAGTATGAAAGCCGTTGTCATGTTATTCACCGAAAAAACATCGACCGATTGCGAAGAATATATATTTCCGAACATCGAAAAAGTGAAAGTAACGATCGAAGGTGTTCCGAACGTTATTTACAGTCAGGGTATGACGAAAACACGAATGTACGAAGAAGCCAAACGGCTTTTTGGTACCGATACGAACAGTCAACAATCCCTGGTAAAATTCTACAAGGATAAAAAATTTGACTTGGTCATCGACTTACGAACCGTAAACGATAAAAAGACTTATCGGAACGGTTTAAAATTCAAAATACCCAGTCGGGAATTCTAGTGGAAATTACTAAAAAAGCAACAACGGCCAACGTCGTCTGTTATACGTTCGTTCTTTCGGACGGTGTCATTAAAATTGTCAACGGGCAATTCGGTGGCGTGAGGTATTAGGATGATATTTTTTCATATTTTTTCCTAAAATATATGAAAGTACCTATTCCATCTTTGTATCTTCCTTTTCTTCTTCTTCCTTACCTTTCCTTCCGTAAACATGTTTCACCGTCGTCACACCACCGCTTAAAATTCCTAAATACGGAATGTACGGTGATAATTTCTCGACGATACTTTTCACGTCGCTTTTTAATAATTTATCCTGATTTAATTCTTCTTTCAGATCATTCCCGCTATCGACCATACGAATATTTTCCAACAATTTCGAAAATTTCTCGATCAGAGTTTCCGTGAGTAGAACGTTGACTTTTTCACGTTGACTGATATCATATTCCTGCTTAATCTTACGAACGATACGCGGTGATGCTTTTTTCAAATAATTCTCGGACTTTTTAATTTCACCCGCCTTCGATAACCGAATTAATTCCGCTCGCATCTCTTCCAGAATTTCCTGTTCCGTCTTTTGTTCCGAAAATTCTTCTTCCATTCTAATACTTTATCTCATGACGGAACGGATGAATTAATTCTAATTTCAAGTACGAATACTTATTTTTCACTTATTTTTTTACGAATGGATTTTATTTCACTTACACCCACTACGTCTGGGTCAATATATTCGTCCAGGATTGCTTTCATATCCTGTCTGTTCGGATTATAGAACGTCACTAATTTCTGAATGTTCTCGCGAAATGGTTTGGCGATCGATGTCAACTTTTGCGTGATCACGATTGTCGAAATGTTTCGGTGACGACCTCCAAATCCTAAATTCACCAATTCGCTCGTACGACCCTTGATGAATTTCGTACTCGCACAATCATCGAGAATAATCAAAGATTCTTTCCCCGACGTATAATTCACGACCCGCTTTAATGAATCTTCCACATCATCCTGATCACACGGAACGATGAAAAAAATTTGGATCCTCATCGATAAAATTTTGTTCGTACGTTTTGTTCCAATGATACGTCGGACAGATCAGAAAGATATTAGAAAATTTACGAAAGTACGTCGTCTTTAATTCTTCGATCAGATAATGCGTCTTTCCACACGCCGTCATTCCGACGATGTTCATATTAAACGGTTTCATTTAATAAAATGGGAGGATGTCTCTCTTCGAAATCCGAAAATACTATCAGACGCAACAAAAATCATAAAAGACGAAAAATGTTCAGTTTAGGATTCGGGTTTGATCGCGGTGATGCGACGACGAGTATTCATACGCAGATCTGATACGTTAGTACGACGGTTAAAAATTACGATGGAATAAAAGATGATAAAATTATTCCTGTGGAGAATATTGTTATGGATGAGTCTGATCAGTTGCCTCCTGATCCCGATCACGTTCGAAGTTTTGTTGGTGATGATAATAATCCTGAATAAATTTTAATAATAAGATTATTAAAATTCTTTTTTACGCGGACGGTGTGTGGATCGGTAATTCTTCTTTCTTCTTACGACACATCCTCACCAATTTCGTCGTCACGAAAATCAAAATGGATAATGCAGACGAACTACAGATCGCACACGTCGCGTACAAGACGTTGGCCTCTTCTTCCGTCAACGCCACGTTCGGAATGATCGTTGAATTCGTACGAGTTGCAACCGCCGCTAATTTCATGGCGGAATGAATAACTGTCGTTGCAGAGTTCATCTTTTATTTAATGAATTTTTTCTAAATCTTTTTCTTCCAGTCCAAAACGTCCCATCAGACCGGAAATATCTTCAGTCAACTCTCGTAATTCTGATGTCACCTCCCGTAATTCTGATCTAAAAATTTTATAAAATTTAAATCCCTACCAAAACATATAGCAGCCCTCACAACGTCGGTAAGTATCAACTGAATATCTTTCCTAACCTCCGTATCATTCATTTTATTATAAAAAAAAATTCCTAACCTCGGGTAGGTTAGGAACAATATGAATAGTAGTACCATAGAGACTATCGAAAAGAAAATATTCCAGATATATTTTTCCTTAACATATACCTTATTTTATTATACTAGGGGAAAAAAAAAAAAAATTATTCCTCGTCATCACCTATATTATAATACACATCCATCATTTCCTCCCTCTCCCTCCAAATACGAGCGTTCTCCAATGCAAACCGAAGTAAAGATGTTCTGTCCGACTTTCTCCTGTATCCAAAACTACGTCTTACCTCTTCTCTTCCCAATGCGTGAACATTAGACTCACGACGCTTCTTACGCTCCGATGCAAGACTCTTAATTTCTTTACGGAAACTTCCTTTTGAATTTGACATCTCTATTTATCATACGTATAATTTCTCTTTAAATACTTGACGAGACCGATTTGTTCGCGAAAATGTTTTTGTAAATTTCCATAGGAAAATTTTTCATGAATTTTCACATCAAGTTTTTCCATGAAAATTTTTATGAAATTTTTCATGAAGTTTACTTTTATACGGAAAAAATTTTTATGGAAAATTCCTTGGGGACGTTGGGAACGTTGAGGATGTTAAGGACGTTAAGGACGTTGGGGACGTTGGGGGCGTTGAGGATGTTGAGGACGTTGAGGACGTTGGGGATGTTGAGGACGTTGGGGACGTTGGGGACGTTGAGGACGAAAAAAGGTGAAATGTGAAAATGAGCTCGAACATACATATGGTCCCTACTATTGCCTACAGAGATCGCATAAAATCATGTTGTCGTATTCTTTTGGCAGTTTAATTACATTCACATTGACATGTTTGTCAATACAACTAATGTGTTTCAGTGTTTACAACATAGTCATAGAAAAATAACAACATGCTGAAGCAAGAATAGGATCAGATACCAGCAGTTGGGTTATCGGCACTCGCCCCCCTAACAGTGCCGAGAACCAACGGCAGGAATCTGAGCCTAAGGCAAAGAGAACCAAGGTCAAATATGGCACATGTGGTACTGACTACTTTTAATAATAACAATGGAACTAAAGGTATTTCTTCTATAAATACGATAGTAAAATAGCTGACGTGGTGGCATAGTACTACAAATACCATAAACACAATCTATATATATGAATTACCTAACAAATTTAATTATTTTTAATCAATGTCAATGAACAATTTTGTGAATCCTGCATCGGTAAAGACAAATATATTTTTGGTGCTTTTTATAATGAGCAATGAAATTTGACCGCGTTGATTATAAAAAACATATAGTATATGCATGTGTCAGTTAAAAAAAAGTTTTGACAATATCAATAATTAAAATAACCACCTCGGCGATTACTTTTTGACAACGCGACGCGAAGTTTCAATTTTCAATGAGATTAACTGTAATATTTTTTTATGTTTTCAAATATTCGGAACCAATTAAAGGTGATCTACAGTCCGATCTGCGCATGTGCACAATGAGCCCACTTTTTATTATACAAACAGTTTAACTATGTTTTGAGTTCTTGAAAAGCCTGATTGTTGTTTCTTGATCATTTATTAGACTCTAGAAGCTTGAAAATATAAATAGTTGTCGAATAAAGCTCAATATTTTGGACACAAAAATGTTAACAAAGGCTTTGTTTACATACGGACTGTAGATCACCTTTAAGCAATTTTACTTATTTTATCTGCATGTCTTTATCTTAAAACTTTATCTGCCTCGCGTTGTCGAATCGCGTTGGCACTGTATGGGCATTTATATAGACAAAATAATTAATAAAGTCGATTCGCGCAAAAAACATCGCTAGTGGAAAACCAGATTAAATGCCTCATGAAAGCTCGTTCGTTGGCTTAATGTCGAAGATATGTTTATATTTTTCAGGTTGTTGCATCATCTACACAGTTCAGCTTAAGGTGACTTGACATAATAATCAAACAATAATAGTTTATTTACACTCAAAAAGATACAAATACATTCTGTTATAGATAAAAAATTACAAATGAGAGTGAAGGCCACCTGTAATAACCATAAGGGCTAATCGAGACAGGTGGCCTTTAAAGAGACACAAGAAAAACTATGATTAGGAGAGTAAGACAGTAATCAATATGGAAACGCTTAATAAATTAACTTAATTACACAGACAACAAAAACATGAAGAAACAAAAAAGACAAAAATAAACAAAAATGGCTCAAATATTTTGAATAGTATTAAGGGGCAAAAAGGAAAAATATAGGTATTTCGTGATGTGATTTAGTAGGCACCAATCAGCAGTTCTTTTAGTTTGCGTTTGAAAGCAAATTTAGAAAGTGTTTTAAGAGACTCGTCAATTTCATTTCAAATTTGAGTTCCTCTGAATCTGATTCTAAATTTGCCATAATTTGTGCGAGCTGGAGGAAGAGAGTAGGTTGATCTTGAAGCAAGTCGAGTATTATAATAATGCTGATTTTGTATTAGGCTAAAGAAGTCATCAAAGGCCTCAGGAAGTTTGCCATTACTATACTGATGTACAAAAAGTGCTATGTATACATAAACAATATCTGGAAATTTTAATACATTCAATTTTTTAAATAGAGGAGAAGTATGTTCCCTGAAGTTAGAAAAGGTAATGATGCGTATAGCCTTCTTTTGCAGAACTACTAGAGGACGAAGGTTTGATTGATAGGTATTTCCCCATATGATTACACTGTATATCAGAAATGGAAAAATAATAGAATAGTATAATTGGATTAAAATACTTGTAGGGACAAAATGACGTAATTTGGACAATACACCAATACTTCTAGCTAGTTTTTTGGATAACTCATGAACATGAGCTTTCCAGTTCAGATTGGAATCAATAATTACTCCCAAATAATTTGCACTCTTCTTTTCCTCTATAACCTCTCCTCTTATTAGAAGCTTAAATGGATAATTACGTTTCTTCTGAGGAGGATGAAATATGACAAAGCTTGATTTATCTGCATTGAGGGACAGTTTGTTAGCACATAAGGTAATTTGACATAATAATCCTCTCTAAATTCCTTATACAAGCGCGAAAAAATCCCCTTTACGCTGTATGAACGAGCCCGAGTGATCTTTTGTTTCAAGCACTACTTCTGATCGGGCTTTATTTTTTCAGCTTTAATCAAAGAAAAAGCAAAATAAATTGCTTCTTAGCTCTTTTCAAAGCTATTTCCCCATATATTTTCTGGGAGCGGGCTGTAACCTGGTGCAATATCTTTGTCGCTTTTGTTGTTATATATATATATATATATATATATATATATATATATATATATATATATATATATATATATATATATATATATATATATATATATATATATATATATATATGTAATGGTGAAGCTTATGCATGGATCAATTCTTGTTGTTGCCACCCCCCCCCGTGCAACCCCCGGGATAATGCAGAAACTTTAATTCCGGGGGTGGAGAATTGTTAGAAAACTTTGTTCCGGGGGTTTCACCGGGGTAAAAAGCAAAACTCGTATCCAGGACCATGTTTTGACTACGTATCTAGCGGCTAGCGCATCCAGTGACATGTATATAGTTCACTGAGCGAACGTCCAAAAGTTTTCAAAATGGCGACTACCTCGTATTTGGCAGTTGTTTATATAATCGTGTTATAGTAACTATAGTTTATAATACCAAGTATTTAATCGGTATATATAAACGCACTTTTCAAATTTTACATATGTTTATACGAAGGATATTAAACTGCTGATTGATATTTCTTATATTTAGTTTTTTAGCGATGCCCCGGGGTGGGGAATTGTCAAGTTTTAAAGTCCCGGGGTTGGGGAATTTACTACATTCTTGCAAAAAAAATACAAATCCCGGGTGTATTGCCCGGGGGGGATGGTAACCGCTGGAATTGATCCATGCATTAAGGTGCCTCGATAAACTTTTCAAAAATTCAGGTGTTCAACACTTTGACATGTTCAATCCATGCATTCTTAGGATTTATTCAGCAGATTTTGGTTTTATTATATATTTTGATATCTTCACTTTCAAATTATATTAGTTTTAGTAGCAGATAGTTCGTTGCTATGACGACATACGTGTACGAAATTCACTTCAAAATGGCCTATCGCCTCGTATACAGTTGGAAAAGAGGCATGGTGACCGCCAACTCTTTTTCGTGCATTGTTTTACTTTATTTAGAAAATGCGAAAGTATCGTACTCTTTGGTAAAATGTTTTTGGTATTACATTTTTCATTTTTTGTATGACGAAAGTTTTAACGGTACAATACAGCATGCAAAATTTGAACATAAGTCACCAGACAAAATAGAGAGATATAACGCATTGTGTTTTCTAAAATTGAAAATTCTAATGACGTCAGTAATTGACATAAAACGCTATGGGACGCGAGCAATGACGTGAGATAGCGCAAACAACTGCTCACGTCAGGTCATTTTGGAAGTTCTTTCATTTTATTTAACAGTTTCCGAGATCTGCGCGTAAAAATTGTCACCCAGTTTTGTTTGCGATCCTTGAGCAGGGTTTTTGTGATAACTATATGGAGCCACCTCGATGGCCTTGCAAATTTTCATTCTTTAATCGATAATATTTATTCCCTTGATTTCTTCTGTGTGGACTGTCGTAGACTAAAACTTCTTACTTCTCTTACTAATAATAAGGTGCTTGTCTCTTTGCTTTATTTTGACTCAGGTGCTCGTCTCAAGGGAGATGTGGTCACGTGAACCAGTGCTGCAGCAGGCTTATATTGTCAAGTGTACAATTATATTCGATACTACTTGAAAGCCTTGGTCAAATATGTATGAAAATTGATGTGAGTTATTAGAAGCTTTAAGTCTCAAACGCTCTTTTAAGCTGGTTCAAATTTTAATGAAAGTTGATGAGAAATTTAGTTCGTCTAATTGGTATACGCGTTATGTTGTGAGTCTCGTTCATAACTACTACACTGTAACCTGGAAATGAAACCCTCCAAGTTCTCGTTATGAATTATGGCCAAGTTTCGTAGACAAATTTAACACATCAAAACATATTCGCTTTTTGAAGCAGTCATGGTGTTTTGAAGGGCCCAAACCTACGAAGAGCCATGTTGAAATGACATAATTTTATAGCATTAATCGCTGACTTTAGATATATATGATTTAACGTGGCTCACATGGGCAAAGAAGTTTTCTTCTGATAACTGTAATGCAAGTAATATATATTTTTTTCTTGAATTTAACGACTAGTTCTAATATCATTTCTTGCATAAATAAATAAACATTTCCTACATAAACTAACTGTCAATAAAGGTAGATGCTTATTATATATAATTACACTGACAAATTCGCAATTGTTTCCAATGGAGCACAAATTATTCCGTCTTCATGAAAAGTACGATTAAGGCAGCCCCAACATAACTAATAATTCTTATGGTTTCTATTGGGCTCCCTTCCCAAGTATGAAGATGCGGGCTTACGGATCGAAAGCTTTGCTAGAATTTAATATGTTTTTTGTGTAATATTATTTATTTATGCCTAAATAAATTTGATTTGATTTAAATACAAATTACAGTTGGCAGAGAAACAACTTGTTGCATTTACAAAATCACTATTTAATTGCTCCTCTCAAAATCTAAGCCGAGCACAAGTTAATATTAAAATGACCAAACTGTGCATATTTGACACCTACGGTAAAATATATAACAATGTTAACAAAAATTTTAATTTTCTTAAGCTACCTAAATAGGTAATATTTGGTTGAAGTTGAAATATACAAAACTGTTTTGGAAGTTATTTCCGACAACATAAAAGTGAAACTGATTAAGTGGTCGGGCTCCTTCATAGCTGATGGAGTTAAACTTAACAACAACTGAGGCAACAACATGTTTTGCTGCTATACTCACAAAAACACAGAAAGATGGATGTCTGTGATAGAGACTCTTTTACTGAGATGCCCGGGCGAACAGCTAAAATTATCGAATCTGAAAATTCTTCTTATTTGTTGAGATACACCTTGTGCAATTTTCCTTAATTTTGAAAACGTCACTGCACAAGGTTACGTGTTACGAACACAGGATGTATTTCAGTTAGCTACTTCTTACCGATTTAGTAATTAAAATGTTTCGGCTCAGTTACGTTACAAAATATCAGCACTCCGAAAACAGGAATTATTTTCAAAACAGTTTAATCGACATATTATTCAACATAGGTCAACATCACAGATGATGAAATTATTACATATTATAAGCTAATATATACAGGTAAAGAAATATGAAAATGTCTATATATAGGTATTACTGTACGTATGAAGAGTAATTAGTTTTTTAGAAGATTTTAGTTGTAACGAAGTATATATATATAGGTTATCATATAAGGGATGAGGTGATATCAGTTTTATCGCTCGAGGGATGATATCACAATTGTCACGAGCGAGCGCAGCGAACGAGGGACAATTGTGATATCGTCCCGAGAGCGATAAAACTGATATCACCGAATCCCGAGTACGATAACCTATTTATTATATACTTGTACCTTTATCAGGGTTTGACACCCAAATCTTCTATTAACCGTGCCCAAAGTAAACAGTTTTGATTTTTGAAAAAATAGGATCATTTTAGAATTCAAAACAATTCATCGTTTACTGAACAAATATGATTTTAGAAAATAAATAGACCATTCATATAGATAATATACAATTTAAGTCTTTCATTTTGTATTATCGTTCTTGTTTTCTTCGATAAACTCTCGACATCAACCAACACGAACCTTGAATCGGCCATCTTTGTTTTGACAAGGCGCGAAATTTAGCGGGACAAAAAACGATATCCGGATCCGGGACAAAAAACGATATCCGGGACAAGAAACGATATCCGGGACGATATCGTTTTTATGTCCCGCTGCTTCCTACCTGATGAAGGTACAAGTATGTGATAAATATATATATATATATATATATATATATATATATATATATATATATATATATATATATATATATATAATTAATTTGTTAACTTAAAATATAGTCAGAACTCTGAGTTTCACGCTCAATGCGATCTTCAGGCGACAATGTTTAAATCTCGATTAAAAATTCCTGTATGGATGCGTGCGAGTTCGTTAGGCTACTTGCATGCGTGATTGTATTGCGTGCGCACGTTCAAATTTTCCCACCAAGAATTGCTTCCGGTGGCAACACTTTGAGAATAGCTCACATCTCTTGTTCAACAATCTTTTCTTGTCACCTTTCAAAATTTCCAGTTTCTCTTGTAGGCAAAAGTTGCAACTTTTTGCGCCGCTGCGATAAGGTGATGCTTGCTTCAGAATGGACCACTTGATGTTGAATGTACGTTTCTTGTTTTTCAAGTTCCAAATGTGTTTGGACAGCTCAGTGGATGTAACATAGCTGGTATCTTTGAATGAGGTCTTGTGGTTGTAAAAACGTTTCTTAAACGTGTTTGATGTCATCCCAATATAATTTCGAATTACTCCTGTGTCGTCCGTAACCTCGGCTTTATAGACAACGCTCTTTGTAAGGCAATTATTGTTTAAGGGACATTCAGTGCTTTCTATGCAGTTACAGTTTTCTTTGGTAGATGCTACTACATCACTTTTATTCTTTAAAAGGTTACCGAAGTTATGTTTGGAGATAACGCTTTTACAGTTATCCATGCAACTATAGCTTACTTTGACCGAGTTTCTGTTAAAAATCTTGTGTAGCGGATTATAGACGCAGGGAAATGTTTGTCGATCAGGTTTAGAAAGTTTCTAGCAACATTTGTTCTTACATTCTTGCTAAAAGGTGGGTTAAACCAAATTATATTTCTTGTTCTTGTTCTATTCTTTTGTTTATTATTTGGGGAGTAGCGTAAATTTGTTGGGTAATGACTACGGCGGAGCGCGGCTTCATAAAGAGGTGCAGACTTCGAGAAAGCTTCTTGATTCGATGATAACTGAGAAATTCGGTTGCCCACAGAAGATGGGAGTTGCTTTGTAATTTAAGGAGGATGGTTTGAATGAATATCAATGAAAAGTGGTTCATTGTTAGGCTTTCGATAGGGTTGGTAGCTTTCATCATTTAAATTTAAGGTAATATCTAGGAAGTTGACAGATTGGTGGGTAATTTCTGCGGTGATTTTCAATTGAAACTCATCGAAAAGTTGGTGGAGATCTTTTCTAGCTTTGTCAGCAAGCCGGGCAGAAGTACCTCGTAGTAGGATTAAACCATCGTCTCGATAAAGGCCGACGCGGTCTTTACCATATTTCTTTGCCAAGGAATTGAGTATAAATAGGCCGATAAGTTCGCACACTTCTGCTCCATCAAAACTGCCCATGGTTACGTCAAACAAGGGATTGTTTTGTTGTTTGATCCAGGTTTTACCGTCATTGAACAGAAGCGATTTTCTTGCGTGTTTGATGACATTGATCTGCTTATCATCTATATTAACGTACCCGCGAGCCCAAGTGATTGCTTTGTCAAGAAGTTCCTCTGTTATTGATGGATGAAACTCTGCTACGTCGAAGGAAATGAAGGAGTGACCAGGTTTGTTCTTGATGTTTTTGAACCAGTCAATGACAGATAAAGAATTTTTCCACTGGTTCAATCCGGTAGCGTTTCTGATTTGCGTATTAATGTCATCCAGGATGATCTTACTAATTTTACCTAGTTCACTCTTTGCTGGGTTGATAAGACGGTATTTTGGATTTGTTTCAAAATTCTCCTTGTGATCTTTTAATGTAACAAAAGCATCTTTTGATGCCATTGTCTCAATACGATCGCTGACTGAAAGGTTGTCCGTAATTCGGCTTAGTTCAAAGTTGATTTCCTCTTTCACATCATTGTCAGTAAGTTTGTATGTTTTTGTCACGTTATCTTTCACAATTTTATTGTAGTTCTCCGGTGTTGTTTCATATACGTTTTTGGTTTTGTCCGCAAAAACAAATACATTTGGCGACGTTTTAACTTTCTTAAGATCATTATCCAGATCATTTAAAAATTTGTCGGAAACGTTTCTGAACTGAATATTTTCCATCATGTTTACAAGATCATCTTCAAAAGCTTTCATTTCATTGATAAAAGGTGGTGCCGTTTTTGATTTTAATCCAAATTTATATTGTTCTTTCGCGTTTGGTTCATGTAGATAAAAATGCGCTTTCCATCTCATTCTGGTTACTACGTTTTCGATCTTGTCAATAAGCCTTTTCTTGTCAATAAGCCTTTTCTTTCCTTTTCTTGTCAATAAGCCTTTTCTTTTCTTTTCTTTTTTTTTTCTTATATGAAACAACACCGGAGAACTACAATAAAATTGTGAAAGATAACGTGACAAAAACATACAAACTTACTGACAATGATGTGATAGAGGAAATCAACTTTGATCTAAGCCGAATTACGGACAACCTTTCAGTCAGCGATCGTATTGAGACAATGGCATCAAAAGATGCTTTTGTTACATTAAAAGATCACAAGGAGAATTTTGAAACAAATCCAAAATACCGTCTTATCAACCCAGCAAAGAGTGAACTAGGTAAAATTAGTAAGATCATCCTGGATGACATTAATACGCAAATCAGAAACGCTACCGGATTGAACCAGTGGAAAAATTCTTTATCTGTCATTGACTGGTTCAAAAATATCAAGAACAAACCTGGTCACTCCTTCATTTCCTTCGACGTAGCAGAGTTTTATCCATCAATAACAGAGGAACTTCTTGACAAAGCCATCACTTGGGCTCGCGGGTACGTTAATATCGATGATAAGCAGATCAACGTCATCAAACACGCAAGAAAATCGCTTCTGTTCAATGACGGTAAAACCTGGATCAAACAACAAAACAATCCCTTGTTTGACGTAACCATGGGCAGTTTTGATGGAGCAGAAGTGTGCGAACTTATCGGCCTATTTATACTCAATTCCTTGGCAAAGAAATATGGTAAAGACCGTGTCGGCCTTTATCGAGACGATGGTTTAATCCTACTACGAGGTACTTCTGCCCGGCTTGCTGACAAAGCTAGAAAAGATCTCCACCAACTTTTCGATGAGTTTCAACTGAAAATCAAAACAGAAATTACCCACCAATCTGTCAACTTCCTAGATATTACCTTAAATTTAAATGATGAAAGCTACCAACCCTACCGAAAGCCTAACAATGAACCACTTTTCATTGACAGTCATTCAAACCATCCCCCTTCAATTACAAAGCATCTACCATCTTCCGTTGGCAACCGAATTTGTCAGTTATCATCGAATCAAGAAGCTTTCTCGAAGTCTGCACCTCTTTATCAAGCCGCGCTCCACCGTAGTCATTACCCAACAAATTTACGCTACTCCCCTAATAATAAACAGAAGAATAGAACGAGAACGAGAAATATAATTTGGTTTAATCCACCTTTTAGTAAGAATGTTAGAACAAATGTTGGTAGAAACTTTCTAAACCTGATTGACAAACATTTCCCTGCGTATTTCCCTGCGTCTAACCCACTACACAAGATCTTTAACAGAAACTCGGTCAAAGTAAGCTACAGTTGCATGGATAACTGTAAAAGCGTCATCTCCAAACATAACCTCGGTACACTTTTAAAGAATAAAACTGTTGTTGTAGCATCTACCAAAGACAACTGTAACTGCATAGAAAGCAATGAAAGTCCCTTAAACAATAATTGCCTTACAAAGAGCGTTGTTTATAAAGCCGAGGTTACGGACGACACAGGAGTAATTCGAGATTATATTGGGATGACATCAAACACGTTCAAGAAACGTTATTACAACCACAAGACATCATTCAAAGATACGAGCTATGTAAAATCCACTGAGCTGTCCAAACACATTTGGAACTTGAAAAACAAGAAACGTACATTCAACATCAAGTGGTTCATTCTGAAGCAAGCATCATCTTATCGCAGCGGCGCAAAAAGTTGCAACCTATGCCTCCAAGAGAAACTCGAAATTTTGAAAGGTGATAAGAAAAGATTGCTGAACAGGAGATGTGAGCTATTCTCGAAGTGTTGCCACCGGAAACAATTCTTGGCGGGAATATTTGAACGTGCGCACGCAATACCATCACGCAAGTAGCCTAACGAACTCGCACGTAATCATACAGGAATTTTTTTATTGAGATTTAAACATTGTCGCCTGAAGATCGCATTGAGCGTGAAACTCAGACTTGTGACTATATTTTAAGTTAAGAAATTAAATTATATATATATATATATATATATATATATATATATATATATATATATATATATATATATATATATATATATATATATATATATATATATATATATTATACCTCACAATGAGCTTGTCCAATCAGATAACTAAATTTGTACCACATGACCATGGTATTTTTCAGCGAATACTATGACCTAGGCAATTTGAACCCTGGGTGTTTTACCCGGGGCCATGGTATTCGACTTCGAATACCACGCTTGAGCGGGAAATTCGACTTTAAATGTAAAGTTTAAATGTAAAGTTATCAAAAGTTGTGTTTTGAAATTAAAAGTTAATTGAATGGTATTTGTTTTCTACTTATTTTTGAAAGGTTCGGTATAATATACCATTTATAGACCTTTCACTCGGGGTATTCCACAAAAAATTACCCTGCGGGATAAAATATTCCTCGGGCTTCGCCCTCGGAATATTTCATCCCTCAGGGTAATTTTTTGTGGAATACCCCTCGTTTCAGGTCTATAACTGATAAATATACTGTTGAGGCGATCAGTAGAATACATAGTAACTTTGAATTTTGTAACTGATCTAATTAAAAACATTCTAATGTTAAAAAGTTTTTTAAAATTTTGCTAAATTTTCGGCTGCAAATTGCTAGCCTTCTTCTGAGCAATGGCCACATTGCTCAGAAGAAGGCTAGAAGTTTGCAGCCGAAAATTTAGCAAAATTTCAAAAACTTTTTAACATTAGAATGTTTTTAATTAGATCAGTTACAAAATTCAAAGTTACTATATATATATATATATATATATATATATATATATATATATATATATATATATATATATATATATATATATATATATATATATATATAATATATATATATATTTATATATATATATATATATATATATATATATATTGCGTTAGAAATGCATCAAAAACTGCATCGTGTACCACCTTTTTGTCCATTATTTAACATTATTTAAACTCGGTGAAACTGGTTTTTAAATCACCATCTTTTTCTTTCAAAGGATCAAATAGCAATCCTAATGGCAATGCCGGACAGGGAACGGCAGGTATGTTTAGTTAACTATATCCGATATACCATTTTTCCTACAAATGAAGACCATGTGAAAAATTATAACTGTAAATTACCAAACATCTCAAATTTTCCGTGCGGGTAGTCCATAGAAATAATAGATATAGAATGCGTACTTGATCACGAATCATGTCTCCACTTTTTTTCATGCGTGCCCTTATAAATCCGCCATGTTGAATTTGGCTAGGAGTGCCAAATACAAAATATAAACAAAGCTAAAACTACGTTTTCATCGTCAAAACGTTTGTCTTGTTGTCTAATTTGTAGTTTCGAGATAGATTTTGAGTTCTTTAATTTGAAGGCACAAACTGTCAAAGCAATTGTGCGATTTGAAAAACGGTGAAAATAGTGCAGCCTTGTAAACAAAGTAGTTTCGCCGGTTTCGCGTAAACTGATATAATTTACTTATAAAACATTTTTGCATGCTCTGAACGTCACCATGCACTGTCACTGTTTTGCTAATATCTTATAAGATTACAAAATGATAGTTCTTTCTTCGTCGGGTTTCGTTTTTCTTCGATGTAAACGAAGTTTTTTTAATGTTTTATAGAACAAAAATATTTAGTTGCCAGTATAAAACTGTAAATTCACTAAATTGCCTAAATAATCGTCGAAAGCTATGGTTTCAAAAGCGTTGCCTCAAGCTCAAGCAACGTAGAAAAATATGAAAAGTATTTGTGTAAGTTTAAAAAGATTATTGAACTTCATTTATATTATAAAAGAGTTGAAATATTTATAGAACATACCTATAATTGAGTTTGAGTTTGTCTTGATCATTCGGGTTTTGTTTTGGCTTGCACAACAGCATTGAAAATTTATTTTTAAACGACGATTTTTGCATATATTCTGTTCAGAACTGTTGCTTTTCGTAAAAAAGCCCACTAGAATGGGTTTTTAGACACTTTTTTCACTTTATAAAACTTTTTTTTTCCATTTTAAGTCTCGATATAAAATTTTTGAAAACTTTGCAGTTAAAAAAACAATTCGCATTCCCTACAACCGGGCGAAATTCCCCGCCTCAGGAGTCTGGGACCAACCAAAATGTCCTTATAAATCCGCCATTTTGTGGAGACAAATTTTTCACTGAGAAAAGATAGGAGTACACATTCTATATCTATTATTTCTATGGGGTAGTCCTTGAAAATATGAAATAAACACTTAACTGGAGAGCATTTTTTACTCGTTTTGCGTGAATAAACTAGTTAAAATAATTTATTGACTGACGTCTGCAACTACGTAGTAAAATTTCAATTTTTTTCTTTGTAATGTCTATGCAGGTACAGATCGTCACAACATGGTGGAAATGGCAGACCCTTCTGTGAACTATCCTTTAACATCGGAAAAGCCGTTAAAAATGTTCACTAACGCTGAAATCGTTTGGAGAAGTGATGAAGAAACGAAGACTAAACAAGATCTTATTTTAAGTATGGCCTCCTCTGGCTACTACAACAGCATGACGCTCTGTAAGGCTTCTCCACAGAAAACAGAGCTTAATGACGAGTTAAACAACGCTCCAGCATCTTATCGTGGCATGCTATTGAGGTTTGCACCAGGAGAATATTACTACATGTGTACAAGAAACAACAACTTCAGTAATCGTAACCAGAAAGGAAGACTCGTGGTCAGAAATGTGCCAGGAAGCAAGTTAAGCAAGAAGTAAGCACATTGGACCTGTAGTTCTATAAAGAAACATTAACTTGTCTCAGTCTCTCTGACGTGCAACTCCAGGACCATATTATTTTATAATCCGCATGGGAAACTATTATATCGGCATTTCGTTAGTAGATACGCATGTTAGATTAGTTGTTTTGATTTGAAGTATGATTCGAGATTGATTTTAATGTAGAACATAATTGATTATCTGTCAATTTAATGATTAAACTTTGAATAAAAATTTGTTAGACAACAATCATTGTTGCACTAATGTGTTTTGTATAATTTCGGCGAACTTTTCCACGATATAGTAATATTTGTTGAAAGTTAACTTTAATTTTCACACGTTTCGCACAATTCGCAGAAATAAAGCTGATCTTTATCAGGACATCAGGGGCATGCGCTAGCAGGATTCCATTCTCGTCCCAGGCCCCTTGCTAACTCAGAAAATCAAATTTTATTATAATTTTTTATGCATGTTCGAATTTTACTTAAAATAGCTATTGAATGTCTTCAAAAATTAACTAGGGATCCAAGGATAGTGTAAAGTTTCAAACTGAAAAAGACACGGCAAGAAATGAATAGGGTCGTCGACAACCTAGAACAGTAAGATCAGGCATAGGCTAGAGCAGGCACGTTACTAAAAAATGTGGATTAGAACGTTGTTGCGAGATAAACAATTCCTTGTCACTCCCTTCGTAACTCGTTTATTAAATGTTGAGTTACATTTGGGCATGACGACCGACTGTTTTGTAAAGCTGATGCCTTACACTACGAAATAAACAGTTAGCATAGGCATTTCATCTCATCTATTCGGTTTTTAAATTAATGCGTTCGGAACATGAGTAGCGCGACGTTTAATTTGAAACAAGCCTAACACATCAGAAACGTCGTGCCTCGTGGAACTGATACAATTTCTTTATTTATTGTAATGCAACACGCGACAACTCGAAATTCAAATTGTTTCACCAACAACCAATTTTTTTATATTCTAAAACTACATTTTCATTGGGAGCTCTCGCTGAAAGTATCCCAATGAGGCTACTCATATACTAAACTTATTTAAAACTTATTTAAAACTATGATTATTCCCATCATCCTTTCAGCGTGCATATTGCACATTTGACTATTGTCTCAGTGACACTCTTTAATTAAATAGCTGTATAACTAGTTAATACGACGATGCATCCACTACAAAAAATAATAAATCAAAAGCACTAAAACGTAAAAAATGAGGCGACCCTCCCAATTGTGACATGTTTCACAATAACAAGTCTAATTGACCTTTGACTTTATATTCCCAAGATCAAGTTGTTTTTCATGAGTCATTTTCAGCTTTTCGCAAGTATTCAATAATGTCACTTTAGTTGTCAATAGTTTCACAGTTATATCTGCAGCAGTGTTTATAGCAGTTTTGATAAAGCTTTGATACAGATAGATGCTCGTAAGATCTGGTAGAGTTCTTATTGCATTGAATATTGCATTGAATATTGCATTGAATATTGCATTGAACACGAGTTTGCAGACATGTGAACAAGGCCCGTAAATGTATACGTTGGATAGCTCCTTGCCTTTTTCTTCTATTTCATATTCATAAAGCTCGCTGGGAAGTCAAGCGGTTGGCGATAACACATTGGCTATCTCCTCGTCTTTCTCGTTTGAATAAAGAGCGCTGGCAGTGACGAGTCAAGAGATGTTGGTTATGAATGTTGGTTATTTTTTTCGTAAACACCATACAATGATACAAACACCAAGTTCTGTTTAATGGTTGTTTATGCTACTGATCTGATGCAATTTTTCGCTCTTTGTACTGGGTGAGTTTGTCTAGTATGCGAGTTGCGAGTCTGCGAGTTGCGAGTCTGACTGAGTTGCGAGTCTGAGAGTTGCGAGTCTGCGAGTTTACGGTGGCGATTTATTGCCTCGAAAACGCTCACTTAAGTGTAATTTTGTGTGCTTTTGACGAATTGACCTTATATTTTATACTTTGATCTTTTTTATTCTGAGAAATGCTCTCGTTTTACTTTTTTTGAATTTTGGCGGGTAAATGACGTCATCCTTTTTGGCGCCAATATTTTTTTTTAGTGGAAGAATAGAAGATAGACCTCCCTAGTTAATTTTTCAAAAGTAAGATGTTGTGTAAACTTCAAAACCGAAATCGTTTGTTACTAAAAATAGCCCAAAATGGCTGAAATCTGAAAGTATTGTATAAATGATGACTTCAGTTGTTGCATATTTACTATAGCCTGCACTACATGCTTTCAATAAACTTTTTACAATAGATGGATAGCGATTCAGATCAACTGCCTGGAAATACAAGCAAAACGTCAGCATTTCGAGCGAAGGCGCTTCGACTTTGTCTGGAAATTAATAGTAGACGAAGACCGTTCAAAATTATATTATGCTTTGCACCTGTATGACTGTTCTACAGTTATAAATATTGCAGTATTAAATATAATAAATGACTTAGGAAAAGTAAATAGAACCCTTCCCGTGTTATACACGTTGGCAGGCAAATGTATTTTAAAAGCTCCAAAGAGAGCTTCGTATTATTATGGTGTATTAAACACAATGGGGAATGTATTATGTTATATAATCGTAATTTGCCAGCCAGCAAAATATAAACAAGGCAAGGACAGCCAAGGTTTTATACTCTATACTACAGTGACCATACAGTAAAATCTTACGACATATGCAGTAAGAGCAGTATATGGCTTGCCTTATTCTGTTTAGATACCGGTATATATTATACATTTTACACTTTGTCTTTTGAACTTTATATTTTAGCCGACAGGTTTACACTTTAATATACCGATGCCGTTTGTTTTTACTGTATTTATTTTTAAATTTTTGAATAAATTAGCGTAACAATCAACCTGTGGTCAACATGTTGTCAATCAACCTGTGGTCAACGTAAATTCAGCCAATCACAATTCTCGGCAGCTGGCTGCCGAGAGAGATCAATTTTACTAGGGCTTCCGGGCAGGCTCTCCTTCAATTATCTGCCCTATAAAAGAGCCGGCCACACTGGCTAACCATATCCATACAAAATATAGCAACATACAGTGAATTGATCAATAGCGGTCTTTTTAATGATCGAGAAACTGTCGTCAACAAAACGTTTCCATGTTTTAGGTTTTGTAAGAGTTTTTTGAGTGGCTGTATTTTCAATCACTTCCATGCAGAGGTTGGCCACAACTGGGCTGACTGGGCTACCCATTGCACAGCCATGAATTTGTTTGTACGTAAGTCACGTTGTTATAGATGAAATAGTTGTTAGAAAGCGTAAAGTCTAAAAGTGAAATAATGTCGTCAATTGTAAGATTAGTGCGTGATGTCAAAGCCTCGTCCTGTTCGAGTTTAGTCCGTATGTACTGACAGGTTTTAGGCCTACTCTGGGGCGGTAAATCGCCTTAAATCGCTGCGATATAATGCGATTTTGGGCGATTTTAGGCGATTTAAGGAAAAACTGGGACTTTCAAGCACTGCGATTTAATGCGATTTTAGGCGATTTAAGGCGATTTAAGAGAAAATTCTAAATTTTAGGGATTGCAATTTAGACCTGTGTTTTCAAGGTAATTTAATTTTATATTTTGCTCCGGTTCCCTCCCACAAGGCAAAATATGGCAGTGTGGGTTAGAATAAACACAGTTAGAAAAGTGATATCATATTCTCATTGTTATAAAGATAAATAGTCTAGACTAACATAAGTAACCCTAATACTTGATGTAAGCGGTGACTGAAAAGCCCCAAAGGGGGGTGAGCTAAATAATGTAATGTTTTCACACACATTGACACATATGCATTGTATGAAGCAAAATACAATTATTAGAACATGTATGTACATTTTATATAAAGCTAGGTTAATAATTATTGTATTTAACCCGAATCATATATAAAGCTCAATATTCGTGAACTTTTCATCCATTGTCTTATTTAGAAGCCATTGGAGTTCATCTTGTTGGGTCATGTGGTCATGCATTCATGGCTACATTATATACCACAAATATTGTAAACAGTTAATAAATATACTCTACTTAAGGGGCATGTACGGTACATAATTGCAAAATACCAACCTATAACTAAACTACACATCTCTTAGGCTAAACTGTAATATTATTAATTGCAAAATATAATAGATATTTGATTTCCAAAAGAACCACAGCCCACAGCAGGGGCGGATCTAGGGGTGATCAGAGCGATCACGCGACTAAGGTAAAAATTGGCCAGAAAAATGGAAAATTGTTAAATTAAAATAGCAGTCCAGTTATCAAACTTCGCGCAGTCTAATGTATTGAAAGTTTAACAGTCCAGTTTTGAAATATCATTCAGTAGCAAGGCATTCGAACATGAACGCGCAGAAAAGCGGTCTTACGCATGAGTTTTGCACGCTCTGAGTCAGATTCCAGCCATCTGATTGGCTATCTCGATTTTTGCGCGATCTGTGGGGAGTTCTGATCGCTAAAGCGATCAGGGGCTCGAATACAGGCTATCCGATTGGCTAATTCAAAACAATCCTGAATTCCCATTGGCTGGATTTTTTTGATCGATCATACCGTTCAGGCTTCATTTGTGCACGGAAAGGTCTATGACGTTTCTGGCCCTTTCTGATCGCTACTTTGTGCTTGACCGCAAATGGGAAGATTTACAATCAGAAATTCTGAACTAATACCAGCCATGTCTGATAGTATTTACGAAACTGTAAAGGCTGCTTTAGAGAATAACGATCGACAAAATGTCAAAGATATTGAAGCTGATTTAACAAGCGATAACGGTGTACCGAAGTTTTCTATTAAAGATTTATTGAGCGTTGTGAATAACATAAGCAGCCTTCCTCGCACGAAATTTTGGTGCGGAATCTTACATCCTGAAGTACGTTCGAGAGAAGACAAAAATCTTTTGTACGGCCTTAACTTAAGATATATATATTCTATTTTGACTAGATATATCATTATAACTGTTGTATACTGTGGTGGATTGTGCGTCTGTACGCACATGCATGCTATATTAATATCGGCGGGTACGCGTATAAGACGTATAATAATACGAGACGAAATTTACATAATATTTCCGTCAATTTATATAAATACTGCGGCTTAATACAGGCAGTTTCAATGTGTTTATACTTTGTTTATGCTTCTTGTAACATGTACGTAGACTTTATATATTAATCAGTTCGCTACATAATAACATTGTTTATACCTATTTAATATTTTAAACTACAAGAACACGACAATGTAGCACTATGGCCTTGTGTAATACGATCTGTACAACATGTACACAACAAGTAAAATGGGTCATGTTGCCATAATGATTGTGAATACTTATTCATGGCGCATGTTTCTGCTACGAATGAAACTCGAGGAGCAGTGAATTAAACGTGGAAATTCTCTTCCAGCTTAACAATCAATCAAATGTTTTATTAAACTGCATCACTATATTGCTTTTTTTTTACCATCCATGTCAAAGGAAAAAATATGCGATTAAATAACAATTTTTGAAACGTCAATTCATCCTTCTCAATCTATTTCTCGATGAGAATTGGATATCAGTTTGACATATAAAAAAATATTAATGTGCTTGGCAACCCCCCCTCAATGTTCAGCAACGAATGTTTGACTAACGTACGGAAAATCCTAGATCCGCCCCTGGCCCACAGGGAGTAGAAACGCACAATATATTTATACAGTTACAATAAGCTATATTCCTATAAATTACCTTGTCACCCTTGCAAGTGAAATTGTTTTGTTTTGTATCTTGTCAACACTTCTTTATTTAGCTTGCATTTTATTTAAACTGTTTCAACAAACATGTTTTATAAAATTATGTTTGATATCTATATCCAGAAACAGTTTGAAACAGTATTGTCACGCATTCGGAAACTGTCGGCGTAATGGCGTAAAGTTTAATTTACATGAAGTACATCGCATATAAATGGTCGGAATTCTAAATTATTTAAAAAAATAAACAAATGGCACACCGCGCACTACATCGTGGTTTTAAGTCTTTTACCCGATAATTTGTCAAGTGTTCTGCAAACAAGCAACAACAAAGATTGTATGGTATGTACGATGTAATCATTGTTTTACTGTTTATTTTATATACAGGTCTGGAAAATTTAATAGATGAGAGTTGCAAAACTTGCAAATCTCGCTCATATTAAACCTCACGTATGTTTTTCGTATAATAGCCAATATAATTATAACTAGGAGCTAGAGTATAACCATGCACATGTCGACGTACAACCATTGTATACAATGCAGTGCTCGAACTACATGCAACAGTGCACAAATTGCAGGATGACCTTATTATATACTCGTACTCATTGACTCTCATTATCATAGTCCCCTACTGTTGTTCTAACAGCAATTTGGCTTTGAGAAGCCATGTATATTATAGATTAATTTGTAGCCCAGCCACCATAGTCCTTATAAATTGTAGCCCAGCCTCCACATTTTACACCTGAAACGCGAGTCGGAAATTTTCCGGACTGTCAATTTATTTCGGACTGCAGGAATTATAAGCTAAGTGTGATTAAAAATGGTACTTTAAGCAACGCGCGATTGTTTCCGCTGCAGTTTCGGTCTTTCAAGCGCAGCGTGACCCTTTGCCACTCAAAATAAGCGCATGTAGCGGGTTTCGCCTGTTAAATAAGCGCGTTTAGCTTATTGCCAACACAATCAAGCCCATAATGCTTAAATGCACCATTAATTAAAATTGGTAGGGAAATACCAGGCATACCTCCTCATTAAAGGTGATGACATATCCATATCAGGAAAACCATCTGTTACTTATATAAGCTTGGGATACAGGGGGAATATTTTTGCTGTGATGGTACGCAATGGTTGAAAAAGTATTGCATTGCAATACACCTGCAATACTTTTGGGAATGAGAGACAAAAATGGACAATAAAGCGTAGGCGCACGTTTCAATATTACGCTTTCTATTGCGTGACACCTTCCAAAGTTCTGCAATCGTTGCCCAAAATCCAATGGTTTGGCATGGAATTTCGGCAACGATTGCGAGAAGCTTCGCGTTGCCATTGCAGGGTAGGATACACAAGCAATTTACCTCTCGCAACGATTACGCCAGAAAAATGATGCCCGTGTATCCGTAGCTTAAATGCCATTGATGCTCTAAGGTCGCGTCAAGAGGTCGAAAACTAAAAGTGATCAACAACAAAGAGATGTCCTCGCGCTTTATAGACTTTATAGGAAGCTATGGGCACATATTTTCAGAACCAATATGTCGCGGATGCTGTGAACTATAAAACGCCTAAAAATTGAGCAGATTATAAAAGAGGATGCATATTGCATGTAGAAAAAGATGAAGCTAGAAAAAGCCATTAAGGTATACGTATTAAGAAGGCATTCGAATACTTCTCCTTGTCAACGGAAACGACGTGTTAACTTGGAGCTGGAAGGGAAATATTTTACCAAACAATTCTCACTATTACAGTCTCGACTATTTATTATCCATCATTGATGAACAACATTTATTTAGTTACTGGGAATTAAGTCCAAAATTTACAGGCACGCTGACATTATTGCATGAGTTCTCTAATAGATAGAAACATACTAACATAGTACTGTATATTAAAAATTTCTTTATGATATTATATAGAGACATAGTATAACTTCTCTATAATATATAAGCAATTTAATTTAACGTTATACATGCCTGAGACTGAATAAATGTGACTTGACAGTGGACTACAGTGCACATCTAGTCTCCTCTACAGACAACTAATTACACAATCGCGCATCAATTTAGACTGGCAAAATGAGGTAATTGCTGCGTGCATATTACATTCTGGTGTTTATCATAAAGCCCAGGATTAAACACCATGTATTGATAAATGGCATAAAATATGAAGTGCCTGGCTATATTACAGCGTGTTGCGCGCGAATGTCAACACATTCAAACCGCACTTTAAGCAAAGCGCGACTGTTTTTGGCGCTCTAAGCTCCGGGTGACCCAATGGCATGCAAAATAAGCGCGCTTAGCTTATTGGCAAGAACAATCGACATATAGCATGTGTGTTTAGAAGTTAATTTTAGATAAAATATATAAAACAAAAACGGGAAAATGAGAACATCTTGAAAACCCAAGATATGAACCCAAGCAAGACATAAATTCAAATGGTTTTATTTCGATCCTATTGCACAGAATTTCCATGATTGATCGACTGGTATTAAACTTACCACGGAAACACACGAGTGACACGACATACCTCCTTTAGGATTATACCTGTCATAAATGGCTTTCAAGTAACATGAAGACATCAGAGGGAACTATAAAATAAATGCGCACATCAAACAACCAAACGCGATGCCGATTACGTCAAGTTCAGAGGCAGAACTCTCGTTAAAGATGACCTGAATATTGACTTATTTGCGTTACATTTGGTATTATTGCACTTATAGGCTACATGCTAAAGCTGAAATATGAGTTCAGACCGCAAGGTTTATATAAACTGATACATAATGCAACTTAAACAATTCAATATCAGCTGCTATTCGGGCGATTAACAGAATCAGTTTATAGACAGATGCATGCAACTTTTATCTACATATTGTGTATACAATGGTAGTGTGTATCAAAATAAAGGTAATTGAACTTTAGCACGCTATTGTGCAATAAATACTAGATGCCTTAGCGTGGTTTTTGGGTCGTCGCGAAGTTTAGGCTTTCAGCTATCAAATGTAGGCACCATAAATCAAAAATAGTTTTACTACAGGTTTTACACGCTTTTTCTGTTGCCTATGAAGCCAGGGGGCGTATATGTCACATCATAAATGCATTTAGTAAAATGGAAACGTTTCTAGCATTCCGTACGGATAAAATGCTCGCGCATCAGGATGTTTGCTTGACAGCAACTTTTCGCGCAGACTAATTCCCGCTCAATTTTATTTTTGCGCCAACCTAAGGTCTGCGCGAATTCTAATACGCACTTGAAATTAAATACAAGTATCTCAAATACAAATAATAATTAACAAATAATTTACATTTGACGGGCTTTGAATTCGCACAGCGTGAATTATACTCAACCGCTTCAGGCACATGCTGGCGATACACCGTGTGACATGCAAGCTCGAAAGTACCGTATACACTTGAATACGTATAATATTTATGGTTTACGTTAACAATTATAGAGCGCAAGAATAAGTATACCCATATAGTTAGTGTGTAATACAATATTTTATGCTTCAGCATATTCATGCACGCATGAATGATGCATGCCTTCATGATATGGATATATAGTTAATATAGCTAGTAAGTGGGAAAATTCTTCCCATTTATGCCGCTTCTACATTTCGAACACAACTATTCGACAGATCGCAAGAAAAATAGATGAGATAATCAAAACGTTCAGCTGCTATAATGGCGTCAATATTACCTTTGACTGAAGAGTTGATGCATGGAACCTTTTGTTCTGTAATCACTTGGCAACATATTTTCCTTGAATTAACCTCTGATTCCCCATAGCATGCGAACATATAAAAGAATATCCCATGAAACAAGCGAACATATAAAAGCGAACATATATTCATTCACTGCCAGTTATTGTCTTGCTGCTGGAATAGCGCGCATTTATGAATGGCGCGCTCAAAACCGCATTGCATTAATTATTTAAGTAATATTATATGGCGATGACAAGCTTTGCGACCGGGCCATTCCATTTAACATCCACCCCCCCCCCTGTTGACGAGGTTACTGATTTTAGACCCGTTCGGAAACGGTTTTTGGGAAGACCCCCTCGGAAATTTGCTATTTTTTGCGGAACCCCCTATGGAAATTTACGATTTTTCTCAAGCCCTTCGGAAATACTTGTTGACGAGGTTCCATCACGGAACTACCCCTTCGGAAATTTGGAAATTTTTCTTCCCCCTTCGGAAATTTTGTATAATTTTCTTACCCCTCAGAAACAGACCCAATTGTGCTTTTTCGCGCCGCTACGGAAACCTATCCGGCATGGTGCAAACGTAACCCAACCAAATCACTTATTCAAATTTACGCATTTTTCCTCAACAGATAAATCCTAGTAATGTTGATATTTGATAGTCTTGATACTATACAATAAACAGAAATTTGTGTGGAACGCATAAAATCTACAGCGTCCTTCCTCACACATCTCTATAGTATAGGGGTCGCCTCGAGTTGAGATTATTAACACAACATTTTCTCTAATAAATTATACGCACTCATTACGCAGCAAAATCAGGACTGACGAATTGACAAATATCTGTACCTAAGTGGTACTGAGCCCCATTAATCTTGTTAAAGTTTCCTCGCTCGTGGCTCGTGGCCGGAAGCGGTCGACTTGTGCGAATTAACAGATCTTAAACGGCGGCATCGACAGACTTTCATGCCTTCACACACTCTGCAAACCGCAATATTTATACTATGAAATATGCCACTTTAAAAATCCGTGTCGTACAAGTATACCATTAAAGTTTTGATTTTTCGAAAGTATTTATTCTTGAAGTTTGAAGTTCGCGTGGTACTTGTTTATAATAAACATCGTATTAAATTACAATGAAATTTAAATTGGGCTGATACTGATCGTGTCTGCGTTAATATAGCGCGTTTGTTTTGTCAAAAATCATGATTTTCCAATCTTATCGTTTGCGCTAATAGTCAACTAAAACACAAGTTACCAAATGTAGATGTTACATGATATATTTATGCTGTGTGTGGTGGCCCATAAATATTGTGTTACAATGTCTATACTGTCATTCTTGCGATGTGCGAGTACAAGTATTCGTTGCGCGCTCTAACTTTTAAGAAAAATATGCCCGTATCACAGAATACTTCCCCGTCAAACTTCGGGTATCTAGACCGAAGATGCGAGTTCAAATCCCGCTCGAGATTTTGGAAATGGTTTCAAATTACTAAATAAGCGTCTCCAGTCATTCAATGCAACATAATTTAGTCATGCGCACAAACAAGTTAGGGTCTTGATTGCGTCCCATAATCCTTGTATTCGCCTACACTTGCGTACATAAATACAAATATAGGAAATGTTTGTAATGTGGTGTGGCTAGTGATAGTAAAAGGTGGCATCAATACGCGTGCTAGCGCGCGTTATGAGTTTGGGCTCGGTGCATTGTCCTCCCATGCAGCTAGTCAAAGCCGTCCATCGACTATTAGTGGAGTCCCTGAGGTTAGGGAGGGTGGCATCATAACTGCGATGAATGTGGGATGGGTGTCACCTATGGGCGCAACATTTTTAAGCCAAAAAGATCTTTTCATTGGTCTTTTCAAAGTAGTCCGTTTAATTCTAAGTCAAAAGGATCCTTTCAAAGGGTGTAGTATAGCCTGATAGTGTAAGCTTGGATAATAACAAAGATCAACACTGTGATGCATGGTATCCCCGCTCGTTTATTAACTGAAACCGCAAATTCGGCTCCTTCACTCCTCAATAAATCTCTACCTTCTGCGGTGGGAAAATGAGCACGCAAGGAGTCCCATCAGTCCGCGCGCGCTCACTTTTATTCAGGAAACTTCATGTAATTTTTTTTCTGTGTTGGTGTTGTGTACTCAGGTAAATATATTGTTTGTGGTGTTACCCTGAGTGTATATCCACACCGGGCGAGCTTGAAAAATATGCCCGGCCACGGTGGGAATCGAACCTACGACCTTTGGAATACTAGCCCAATGCTTTGCCAACTGAGCTACGCGGTCAGGTCGGTTCGAGTAAGTGATATTTCGGAACAGAATCTAGTTCCTTCGATACAAAATGTAATCTAGTCATATGATTTTTTTTCTGTGTTGGTGTTGTGTACTCAGGTGAATATGATGTTTGTGATGTTAGTCAGAGTACATCATATTCACCTGAGTACACAACACCAACACAGAAAAAAAATCATATGACTAGATTACATTTTGTATCGAAGGAACTAGATTCTGTTCCGAAATATCACTTACTCGAACCGACCTGACCGCGTAGCTCAGTTGGCAGAGCATTGGGCTATTATTCCAATGGTCGTAGGTTCGATTCCCACCGTGGCCGGGCATATTTTTCAAGCTCGCCCGGTGTGGATATACACTCAGGGTAACATCACAAACATCAACTTCACGTAAGTTATTTGTAAATACTTAAGGAGGCTCTGCGGAGGAGAGAAATGTTCTGCCTATATGTTCTGCCGTATAATTTTAGCCTGTCTGTACACAGGCTATATAATTTCAGATGATTGGAATTTGGAAACTATTGTTCCCTTCGGAAATTTTCAAAACATTCCCTAACCCCCTCGAAATTATCGGGAATTGCTTGAACCCCGTCTGAAATTTTTGGGGAATTTCTTGACCCCATCGGAAATTTTCGGGGATTTCTTGACCCCCTCAGAAATTATCGGGAATTGCTTGACCCCCATCTGAAATTATCGGGAATTGCTTGACCCCCTCTGAAATTATCGGGATTTCTTGACCCCTTCTGAAATTATCGGGAATTGCTTGACCCCCTCTGAAATTATCTCGAATTTGCTTGACCCCCTCTGAAATTATCTGGAATTTTTGACCCCATCGGAAATTTTCGGGAATTTCTAGGCCTCCTTGAAATTATCGGGAATTGCTTGACCCCCTCAGAAATTATCGGGAATTGCTTGACCCCCCTTGGAAATTATCGGGAATTTCTTGCGTCTGAAAGCACATTTCCATAATCAATCCTCCGTCCCTCACAAGGATGTTTTTGAGGCTATCAACCCCAAAACTTCCTGGTCTCCCCCAGAAGACCAATATGGGTCTTGAACTATTCATTCGACAATGTCGACATGATATAGAACAATTCCCCAAATTTAGGCCCAAAAGGCCATCCAACCTCACTGACAATGAATTTAGCGCCCTCCAAACACTCCATGCTCGTAATGACATTGTTATCAAACCTGCTGATAAGGGTGGTGCCTAAAGTTGTTTGGAGAGCTGATTTATACCGTAATGAAGCCCACCGACAATTGGGTGATGCCACTTTTTACAGGAGGGTTGACAAGGATTTGACTTCCATTCATCAAACCACCATCACTCAGACCATTCATAACTTTATCAAAACTGGTGATCTCCCTGAGACTGCCAAAAACCTCATACACATCACACTTCGCACACCTGTCATGTACTTTCTGCCCAAAATTCACAAACCTGACAACCCAGGCAGACTTATTGTCTCTGCTTGTGGTTGTCCCACCGAACTCATCTCCAGTTTTCTCGATCGTGTTATGGCACCCTTGGTTAGGGACTTACCATCCTATATCAAGGATACCAAGCATGCTCTCCAAATTCTCCAGAACATTCATTTTCATGGCACTCACAAATTCATTTTCACCATGGACGTCAAATGCTTATACACTGTAATTCCGCATCATGATGGTTTGAGGGCCCTCAAATTCTTTCTAGATAAACGCCCTAACCAGGAACCGTCCACTTCTGTTTTGGTCCGATTGGCTGAGTTGGTGCTTACCCTCAACAATTTTTCCTTTGATGGTGAGCATTACCAACAGATAAATGGTGTAGCCATGGGAACCAAAAGGGACCCAACTATGTTAATTTGTTTGTTGGTTTTGTGGAAAAACAAATCTTTGAACAGTACACTGATCCCATCCCTGATTACCTTGGTAGGTACATAGATGACTGTCTTGGCACAGCATCATGTTCTCGTGTCGAATTGGAACGCTTTATTAACATTGTTAATAATTTCCATCCAGCACTCCAGTTCACATGGGAGATCAGTGAGACCAGTGTGTCATTCTTAGATATCCTTGTATCAATCAATGGTAACAATTTATTGACTTCTGTGTTCTACAAGCCCACTGATTCCCATAGCTATCTTCTATTTTCCTCTTCCCACCCCAACCACACCAAAAGGTCGATTCCCTTCTCGCAGTTCCTTCATCTTCGCCGTATGAGGCGGAAAAAAACAAAATCTTCATGTGAGCAGGTTTTTCGTTCAGAAATCAGACGGAAAGACAAAACGAAATGGTTCAGGTTTTATTACTAGATGATTTCTTATCCCTAAACCTATATAATCATCAACAAACATTAGTAAATGGACAAACAACTAATGCAACAAATTTTAATAACCTAATTTATATTGAAACATCAATGTTCCCAGATAAATCCGAAAGTATAAGCACTCAGGATACAATGTACCTGCATAGTTCCAAGTCTCATCAGGAGCCCCTTAACAGTGTTCCCCAAAGTGGTGAACCCTTGTTTATTCTATCTAATGTAAGATCACTTCTTCCTAAGATTGATGAGTTAGAAACTATTCTGAAAGCAAGTTGTATAAACATGGCCTTTATTACAGAAACGTGGCTGAGTGAAAACATCCACGACAGCGCTGTCGAAATTGATGGTTACTCCCTTGTCAGGCGTGATAGAGTTAACAAGATAGGAGGAGGCGTGTGCGCCTTTATTAAATCATCTATTCCATTTAAATTATTACCCGAACTACAAGACGAATGTTTTGAAACCCTGTGGTTATATTTGAGACCGTATAAACTTCCTCGAGGCTTTTCATGCCTGATAGTATGTGTTATTTATCATCCACCATCCAACGATAATCATGCCTTAGTCGAACACATTATCTTAAGCCTCGATTTAGCCCTTATGAAGTACCCAAATGCAGGAATTTTCCTGGTCGGTGACTTTAATAGATGTCCTGTTTCAGCGTTACTAAGACATTTCGGACTAAAGCAAATTGTCAAAAAACCTACGAGGAAAAATGTTGCCCTGGATCTAATTCTTACGAATATGTCTGCCTGTTGCAATCCTGCATTGGTAACCTCTCCTATTGGACTAAGCGACCATAGCTCTGTGTTCTGTACACTTAAAAGAAATCTGATAAAAAACGAGACCAATAAAGTGAAAATTCGACGTAATATATATGCCAACAAGACAGCGTTTGGAAAATGGTTAGCTGATTATAATTGGTCGACTTTGTATCGTACTGTCTCGTGTAAAGACAAGCTAGACATTTTCACGAAAGTTATCAACAGTGGTTTAGATTGTTTCTTTCCGATTAAAATTATCAAACTACATGCTAATGATAAACCCTGGGTAACGCCCGAATTCAAAGAAATCATTAAAGATAGGCAAAAAGCATATCATGACAGGAATATCCAAAAGTACAATTATTTGCGTAACCTAGCCAATAGAAAAAGGAAACAACTGAGGTCCAGCTATCTTGATAAAAAAATGGACCAGCTTAAATCTAATCCTAATCCGCAAAAGTGGTGGGATTGTTTAAAACAATTCGCAGGGTATCCGAAGAGAAAGGCAATATCGTCTATGGTCCTTGACAATGAGATTGTTGTTGGAAATGTTTTAGCAAATAAAATTAACGACTTCTTCATATCAATTACTAATGAAATTACACCTTTACAGCCAGAATCTACAGAAAGTCAGTTCGAGTTTAATGAAAGTAACATTCATCTCCAATTTATTATTGACGAAGAAAGTGTGTATAATAAATTGTCTGATATATGTGTCTCGAAATCGTCAGGTTCAGACGGCATCCCAAATTGGGTACTTAAACATTATGCTTATATCTTAGCCTTACCAATTGCCTCACTTTTTAATGCTTCGATACAACAACAGCACGTTCCTGCAGTATGGAAAGACGCTGAAGTTATTCCAATACCAAAA